CAGTGAGAAGGAGGTCAGGGGGGAAGGGGGGAGGGGGAGGCGAGTGTCTTTATCATATTGGTCTGTTGACAGAAAGCATAGCTGCGTCATGTGACTCCACTAATCAGGTCATATAAGCAGCTGTGAGCCACAGACAGATCCTGCAGCGTGTGAGTGCTCGTAACCACGACAACGCCGCACCTGTGCGGCTGCAAAAGGGGAGACACAGGACAGCGAGTTACACAGAATCCACACCTCAAACAAATGAGAACCAGCGCAAAACTATAACAGCTATCTAAAAAATACGGCGTTTGTATGAGACCCAAGACTCTACCGAACGCGTGGATGTGCGTTTTATGTCTGTCCGGTAATAAATACGGCTCCTATGGCCGTTTACAAAACGTGTACCTTGTGGATTTTTGTGAGAAATATGTCGGCAGATTTGTATTGGAGCCTATGGGGCTTTTGGCAGAGGTTGTGTCACTCAAACACTCCTTGCGCCAAAACTAAAAAACTCTGGGATTCCATGAACACATTAATCCAATCAGCACAACCATACCCTCATTAATCTGAAGAAATGAAGCCTCTAGAGTGTATACTTTGGCTGCAAGGACAGAAGTTCCATACTTTTTTAACCAGATTTCTGCGCTGCCCCACACTCTAGCCCGCGAGGTCCCACTCTAGCAGACGCAATACACACTCATGTAAAAGTCAGAAACGGAGCGAAGAACTAGTGAAACATAATCAGTGATTATGAAAAAAGTACAATAGATATCAAGAAGCAGTTTTTTTCATAAAATAGTTAAGACTTGTGTCAACATTTAAAAGTTTAAATGGTGTCTGTAGCTGAAAGATTTGCAAAGCTGAAAAATCTGAAAGTTGAAGAAGTTTAGGAGGATTTGAAAGCAAACTCCATTTGAAAACCATGTTAAAATATTTATGATTATTGATTTATATAAATTCAAGCATAAGAGGTAGAAAGCTGAAAAGTCATAGCCCTCAAGCCAGAAAGGAGCTGAACATTTTAATATTTGAAGGATTTTAATAGCTGAAAATGTGAAGGAGTTGAAAGGGGGCGCGGAAGAAATAGAAGAAACATAATAATAAGTCGGAATAAAGATTCGAAGAACAATACTTGGAATGCATCTCAATGCATTCCAACAATAAATGTCTCCCAGCGGCATGATGCATGTAGTATATACCGGCAATGGAACATTATATGTCTTCTACAGAGTGAAGTTACTGTATCACCTTTATGAGGAAACATCTCACTGTACGTTTTTGTACTTGTGGTACTTCTGTCACAGGTAAATCTTATGAACAACAAGTGGGACGTAAAATGGCCTTAAGTTTTGAAGGCATTATTGGGAAATGTACCCAAAGGCTCAAAGCCAATAAAACGAATGACGGAAACCTCAAACGTCAAAGTCTGCAATATTGAACATTTGTTAAATATATAAATCCTATTTCAACATCTTTGACGTCTGTTGTATTGCTCTTGGAAGTCTCTCCTTTGTGTGGGACTGCCAGGTCGCACACAATACATAATACACAGCATAATAATAATAAATGGGGCCCTGTAGCTTTGCTTGTATTATTTTGGCAGTTTGACGCAGTCGCCCATCTGCAGACGAAGCTGCTTTTGTTTGGTGTTCCCATTTTTTTCTCCAAATTGTTCATTCATTTGGGATTTCATGGACCCTGTGCTCAGCTGTGTACACTTGCACGCCCCATGCAGCCTGACCTTCTCCCATCGGCTCACACACAAAGCACACATCCCCACTTCAAAAGGCTTTATCTTTATGTTCATCATTAGTTGGAATGCTTTAAGCATTCCAAGTATTGTTCTTGTAATCTTTATTGTTGGAATGCATTAACGATGCATTCCAAGTATTGTTCTTCGAATCTTTATTTCAACTTCTTCTATTTCTTCCGCGCCACCTTTCAACTCCTTCACACTTTCAGCTATTAAAATCCTTCAAATATTAAAATGTTCAGCTCCTTTCTGGCTTGAGGGCTATGACTTTTGAGCTTTCTACCTCTTAAGCTTGAATTTAAATAAATCAATAATCATTAATATTTTAACATGGTTTTCAAATGGAGTTTGTTTTCAAATCCTCCTTAAACTTCTTCAAATTTCAGATTTTTCAGCTTCGCAAATCTTTCAGCTACAGACACCATTTAAACTTTCAAATGTTGACACAGGTCTCAACTATTTTATGAAAAAAACTGCTTGTTGATATCTATTGTACTTTTTTCATAATCACTGATTATGTTTCACTAGTTCTTCGCTCCGTTTCTGACTTTTACATGAGTGTGTATTGCGTCTGCTAGAGTGGGGACCTCGAGGGCTAGAGTGTAAGGCAGCGCCACAATCTGGTTAAAAAAATATGGAACTTCTGTCCTTACAGCCAAAGTATACACTCTAGAGGCTTCATTTCTTCAGATTAATGAGGGCATGGTTGTGCTGATTGGATTAATGCGTTCATGGAATCCCAGAGTTCTTTAGTTTTGGCTTAAGGAGTGTTAGAGTGACACAACCTCTGCCAAAAGCCCCATAGGCTCCAATACAAATCTGCCGACATATTTCTCGCAAAAATCCAGAAGGTACACGTTTTGTCAACGGCCATAGGAGCCGTATTTATTACCGGACAGACATAAAACACACATCCATGCGTTCGGTAGAGTCTTGGGTCTCATAAAAACGCCGTATTTTTTAGATAGCTGTTATAGTTTTGCGCTGGTTCTCATTTGTTTGAGGTGTGCATTCTGTGTAACTCGCTGTCCTGTCTCTGCCTTTTGCAGCAGCTCGTTAATGAGCACAGGTGCGCCGTTGCCGTGGTAACTCGGAAACACGCTGCAGGATCTCTGTCTGTGACTCACAGCTGCTCCTATGACCTGATTAGTGGAGTCACATGACGCAGCTATGCTTTCTGTCAACAGACCAATATGATAAAGACACTCGCCCCCCTCCCCCCTCCACCCTGACCTCTTCTCACTGTTTATCACTCTCAGACAGTCTGTCTGTCTATTTCTCCTCCTCTCTCTCTCCCTCTATCTCTTCCTCACCACCCCTCCCTTCCTCACCCTCCCTCCCTCTATCTACACCCCCCCACCCCACCCAATCCAATAATCTAAAAAAAAAAGCCCCATGGAGGGAATTTTTACTGTAATGTTTGTGATGAGGCCTATTAAATAAAAACTTCTTAGTTTGAATAACAAACATTCTGTCTCCCACTACGAATATTACTCGTACTTCTAGTACTACAACTGATACTTCTACTACCATACTACTAGTATTTCTACTGCTATTAATACTACAACTACTGCTAATGTTATTACAAATACTACTATGCCTATTAGTGTTAGTATTACAGCTGTTTCTACTGCTATTGATACTAAACCAACTTCTACTGCTAGTACTACTAATACCACAATTACAACTATAACTACTACTAATATTACTACAAACAATTTTAAACCTCTTTTTATTCATTTTAGCTTTTGTTATTTTTGTACATTTTTAAATTAATTTAAGTTCCTGCAACTTCTGCTTTGTTTTGCAATATTTCACATTCATTTCAGCTGTTTTCATTTCTGCTTTTTCAGCAAATCTATTGAAATTTCTTTCAGCTTCTCCCATTTCTGTATTTTTAGCAATTTCAAATTCATTTCAGCTTTTCTAATATCTTTTATTTCAGCAAATGTATTCAAATTCCCTTCAACTTTCAGTATTTTCAGCTATTTTAAAAAGTTAATTTCAGCTTTCAGTTTTTTGCATTCCAACGCATTTTCAGCAGGAAATGCATTTTCTAGTTACATTTCTTGTTCTGGGTCGGAGCTCTTTTTTTCCCGACTTAACTCAAGACCAACTCATGCTATGAAGCTATGCAATTGATTCCACTGCAATATCCTGTTTCTGTTGCAGCCCCTCCACGCTTCGGTCATTTCACATTCCACAGTGGCTTACATTTAGCTCTCACTGTACTGTAGGAAAGTGAATGCCGAAACTAGAGCAAAATAAAAACTGCTTTCCCTTCATTTAATACTAATAAAAATGTTTACAGCAGAATGATCCATCTCTAAGCCTCCACAAGTGTTTGAGTCAGATCAGAGAGGACGGCACACTTACCCCGAACGCCGGGTTGACTGTCCCCTGCTCCTTCAGTCCCAACTCTACTTTCTCCTCCGTCGTGAGGCGCATTGTGACACGGCCCGGGCCGGCTGGCGTTCGGTCAGCGGTGGGAGCAGAGCCCTGAGTGACTGAAGCCCAACGTTAAACGGCGTCCGTCGCCACGGAAACCTTGTATTACAGTCACAAAGTGAGCGGCCTAAATGTGTTGTAATCTCTCCTCTGCAGGTCGGCAGCCTCTCTGGTCCTGCGCTGAGCGAATGTGGCCTTTAGCTCCTCTGAAGGCGGTCATGTGCCTGCTGCTGTGTGACGAGGAATAGTTTGAGAGCAGACAAGCACGTTTGTCACATGCGTCTTTTCATTTGTCTTGCTCATCAGTCGGGCTGTCACAATATCACATTTTTGTTGTGTGATTATTATTTTTAACATTTATTGCAATAAGCGATATTATTGCAATTTTCAGACCATTTTATGCCAATGATAACATAATGACAATGTAATAACATAGTAATACAAGTACGCTCTTTCAAAGAACGTTTTATTTGTCAGAATAGCCATTTGAACCGGAATATGAAAAGATATATCCTAAGTGAATAAAACAAAAAATAATAATAATAAGTAATAAAAAATAATAAGTGCAAGGGACAACATGTCCAACGGAAAAGGCTTCAACCGCAAGCAGGGCGACACGCTCCTTGGCAGGGAGAGACGGGGCGGCAATGAGACGAACGGGCAGTCCGGAGGAATCAAAATCAAGTCTTGTTCATCTTACCGGGTTCGGCTGTAGGTGTTTTAGGAAAAATAACCTTTTATAACATGGAGGGTTCACTGCCAAAAACGATGGCACTCGATTTCAGATAGTGTGCGATAAGTCAATTTATCGCATATTGCGGCAGGCCTACTCATCAGGAAGGTGTTTGCTCATCAAAAGTTATGGCTGAAGACATTTGGGGTCAACGTGTAGGGTGTTTCACCCTCTGTGATGTTATTACTGTGCTTCAGAAATGCTTATTATACTTTGGAATCGTTGATTAAGTTTAATTACAGTTTTAAAACGTATTATAATGGGTGCCTGGTTTGAAAGTTTCATTGAATAGTACAGTACTGAAATAATATTATTATATTATTAGTTATACTTACAATGATGATTATTATTATTGTGAAGCTATGATGATTATTATTATTGTTATCATCTTTGAACTATAAATTAAACGGGTTGCGTCCTCGTTGGGTATAAACTTTCTCTACTGGTGGCCAAATGAAACAGTATAATAAAACATATTAGTAGACATTGTAGTATTATTAGTAATATATTAGTAATTTTTCGATTAAGCTGCAGCTGGTTCACCTGATGCTGAATCTTTTTCTGATGAGTAAATACTGGTGATCATTCACCTCTTCATGTTAATATGGTATTTATTAATTTTGGCTCTGAGTCTAAGTCGTCACACTGTTTCAAGTTAGACCAAAAACAAAAAACAACTTGTATTAAAAAGAAAGTCTTCTCCCTTTAAGATATACTCATAGATTCCAATGCTTTGAGGTCACGGTCTGGAGCGCGGGGTCACGCCAGGCGGACATTACTCCACCTCATCTTTATGTATTTTTACATATCTTTACATGTGTTGGCAGTTTGAATCCAGTGCTTTACCAATCCAGTTGACGTGGCGCGCTGCATGGGAGCCCCTGCCATTGGTGTACGAATAGATGTGAATGGGGGAAGGAGATTGGATAATGTACTTTTAGTGATTGTAAGACTTGTAAGTCATTGTAAGTACAAGTACAGGTCCATTCAGTCAATGGCTGCATGGTGCTGTCTTTATATACTTCAGCCCACTTTATAGTTCCTTCTCAAACTAATTCCCGCTCTGAAATTAGTCCACTTTTTAGACCTCGTCGACCCGAAATACCCTTCAGCTCGCTCGTTATTATTTCCACACATTCAGAGGAATTGGACGAGCTGTACAATATGCACTGTATGCATGCGTTAACATTGCTGTCCCGCATGCTAAATGGGTAACTGTTTGTTTTGCTAAAGGATGGATAAATCAATCCACCACTTCTCCACGGCACATTTAGACGTGTCATGAGTCGATGAGAGAAGGTTCAGCTGAGGGTTGCTGGTTGGAGAATGTACATTTGATGTAAGCAATCATGAGCGCACATTGTTCTCGATGTGATGACCTCTGACAAACTTTACACAGACCAATTAGCACAGAAGCTCTAACCACAAGCTTCCAAAGCCGTTTATTTACAGTAACCTTTAAATCCGCAGTACGCCTTTGAGCGGCATGAGTCTGACTTTTTGTAGTGGTCTGATAGTTTTAGCATTGAGTCTAACACAACAGAATGCAGTTAATTCTTTTCTGCATCTTGTAATGTATATATATTTGCTATCATTTATACATCACTTATATATATTTCTTCAAAGTTGCTGGTTTACAAGATAATATAAGGTGGTGTGTAATGTCAGTAAAATGGTAGTGATGTATGATGAATGTAATGATGATGTGATGTAATGATGAATTTACATGCAAATTCACTCTGCATGACTTATAGGTACGTCTTTTGAGAATTAGGTCCATTTGTTTAAAGGAGACTCCACGCACTGTTTGCAGCTGTGGATTTTGCCAAATGAACGTGTCTAACACTATAGTTAAAATACGTATAGTATGGTAACGATAGTCACGGGTGTTTTTTAATAAGCATTTAGTTTTCATTGATCTCACTGACCGTTTTACAACTAGAGAGCTAAACACAACCACCCGGTTAGAAAGCTTCAAGGTGATAAATTAAATATATCCCAAGGGCAGACTCAAGTACTCATGACTTCCATTTACATGACGACCAATCGAGAGTCACCAGTTAATAAACACGGTAATAAACACGCTGTTTGTTTGCAGCACTTTAAAACCCAATGAACTCAAAACTTTGATTCTTTGTCATAGTATTGGTTGTTCGGGCCAGGACGTTGCATGTGTACAGCATGATAGAATATTAAACCCTCTGAGGACAATATCTGATTTTGGGATTTTGTACTGTACAAAATAAAATGAATTGAATTGAATTTACTTAATTTATATATATATTTGGCCAATGAATGTCTAATGGAGCCTACCAACTCCCGAATAGTTCATCCTGGAGTGACGTCAGCTACACTTTGTCAAGTCAGTTTGTTCGGTCAAATTCCAGACTTTTGGTGGTTAATGTTCCAACATGCTTTGCAAACGACCAATGCTTTAAAAATGAACAAATTCTCTGCTTTACAGCATCATACATCGTCTTAATGCTCTTATGAGGGCAAAATGGTTGTATTTTGAAATGTATTATTACCCTTTGGTAGTTTGTATTCTATAACAAGTATACAAAGGTCCAAATATACATTTACAAAGGGAACATATTACTGCATCGCAGGTGATAAATATCAGACAACAAAACAAATGGACAAAATCCTTCTTTTTAATGCAGAACCAGGAAAAGTCTGAACTGGAAGAAGAAACAAGGGCTTTTCCTTGGATTGAAGAGAGCCTGAATGAAGAGACTGCTGTGGTGCTCCACCGAGGCCTGTGGACAGAGTGTGTCTCTCTGCACCATCCGCGCTAGAACTATTAATGAGGTTCGGCTTTACAAATGCTGCCTGAATGCGAGCCTGAAACTCTGAGCCGACCTGGGGAGATCCAGTCCCCCTCCGACGGTCCTCTTCATACCTTTTTTCATTTAACTGCCTACACCGGCAGCACAAAGCGGTCCCCTGGCAGCTGTAAATAGCATTTCACGGCATGTCCTCCTGCGGACATGTGAGATGCTCATTCGTGTCCGTTTTTTAAAGGACGTTGTAAATTTCAGCAGTCACAGACACCAAACTGCTTTTGTATTTTCTTAATGGGTTTTACACAACCCTGCACTCAGGAGGTTGTATCCCCCTTCATGATTGGTTCCCCCTTACCTCCTAAGTGCAGCTTGGAAACTTTTATTCCAAATAAGTTGCGGCTGAGGGTCTTTACAGTGAGTGTCTGAATGGATTTGACTTGGAACTACTTGCGCTGAAATGATTCTTTGTACCTTCAGCCTCTCACAGGTCACAACCTTGCTGTGGTGAGTTCTCCACGTTATAAACAGAGGTGGGAAGAATACCAATCCTGAACGAGTAAACCTCGGTTTTGTTCTATTGCTTTGAACGGAAGCACTGTGCCTGACGCACAAACAAGCCGCACAAACAGTACATTCAAAACAAAAATACATTTCCAATACCTCCATACATTTGAGACAAAACGCATTTACAGGGGCCAGAACGATTCGTACATTGGAGAGTAGCTGCATACTACACTGCCAACCACCTCGAACAATCGGACAGATACGGTAGACGGTGACTAACTAGACATGTGAGTAGATGTCCGTCGACTAGAATCGATCAGAGCTTCACATCCAGGCGCTGATGAAGCGTGGCCCCTTGTGACGGTGTGACGGTGCAGGAGGAGCAGCTGTTGACCCGTGTGCAAGCAACTGATCGGCATGAGTGTGACTGTCCTCAGCGGGGAGACTCAACCTGCGTCCACACAGAAGGTCGGGGGGAACGATGTGTGTACAAAGCGCAGGTGGAACCAAGTCGTTGGGTTGAAGGTTCTGAGTCGAGTCCCAGAAAAAGATTCTCTCAAATGGTAAGTAAAGCCAATAAACCGGAGCCGAGCGCCTCGTCACCTTTGTGCGTGCACTTTTTAAGCTTTGGTCTGGGTGGAAGTCAAAAGGTTCAAGTGCAGGTAAAGGGTGTTTTAATTTTCTTAAAATCTGAAAATCAATCTCAGTTCACATCTCAGGTATTAAGACCTTTTTGAGGGGTTGTTTTTATCGTTTTGGTTTTATCGTTGATTGCAGTTTAAAATTCAATAAACAAATTGATTAATTTTTCAGCATGAGTCATTCCCCACCTTCTATTTCCTCTAACCTTGACTACTGCAACTCTACATGTAGGAATCGGTCAGTCCAATCTCGCCCATCTAATGTTCCAATGTTGATCTAATGTTGCCAACTAATTATGTTCATGTATTTCGATCATCGTAGACTGATATTAATCATTCTCATCATCATTCTCATTATCATCATTGATCATCATCAATCTATCAGGGAGTTGCTAATCCATTGAGTTTTCTCATGACTGGGCTCAAGGGCGATAATAAAAGGCTCATTAAAGATGACAAATTGATGAGACATAAATGGGTCGCATTGCTCACCGGCTAGGTTTTACACATGCGGCCTTGCGGGTGATGGCGGCGCTACTGCTTTTCTGACTTCCGACTCACGGGGTT